AGGAAGTTCCGATTGCCATCCTAGACCGACAAATCTGCAAGCTGCGGAATAAGGAGGTAGCCTACGTGAAAGTACTTTGGAGAAACAATAATGTGGAAGAAATGACTTGGGAAGCCGAGAAAAACATGAAGTCTAAATATCCCTACTTATTTCCTCCTCCAGAAAAGGATTCGACTGAGACATCATAATCATAAGGTATGTGTATAAATTCTTACGTTGGTTATGAGAGGCTATCATCGTTATTCATAATTATGGTCCTGAATGTCGTTAGATTATTAAGCTTCTACGGGGAGAGTTGATAGTGGTGTTTTACAGAGATGACCTTGCCAAAGACGGGGAGTTGAACATTCGAGGACGAATGTTTCTAAGGGGGGAAGGATGTTACATCTCTTATTTTCGTACGTTACAATTTTGTTTTTAGTTAACCGACATAGACGCGGGGATGAGATCATCTTGACGTACTTAAGCTATTTATAACAAGCAAAAAAAAATAAGTTCCATGAAGGATGCACGAATTAGGGAAAAGGAGTTTCGTTGAAAATGGTCAATTTGGAATTAAATACGGGTCGAGCGATAATACCCGATAATTATGAACTAGTACCATATGACCACGGTAGTATAATATATAAAGTATATATGAAGTATTTTAAAAATAAATAGAATTTTAAGTAATTTATGATAATTTTTAAATTATGCGGGTAATTGATTAATTACCGGGTAACAGAATATTACCCAGTTAAGTAATAAGTGGAAAAAAAATTAATAAACTAACCCCAAACGTGGAAAGAAGCCACAAATCTTAGGAATGGCTCAGTAGTTATACATCTAGGTGGCTATCTAGGACTAATTTAATAATGACTTAAAAGACTAAGTCTTTCTTTAGTAAAATCTCATCTAGAACCTGTCCTTAGCCTCATATAAGTGTCTTGGCGTCATTTTCATTGCTTTGGCAATATAATCAAGAACATTTGAGGCAGAACAAATTTCAAATTCAACCAAACTTCAGAAACGTTCCTCTCACAATTTCAAGAAAAACCAAAAACGTGATTTCGTTCCAAAAATTTTGGGAAACCAGAAACAATTTTTGTTCGTGAATTTCTAAGGAGCAGGGGCCAATTTTGTTCAATCAACAAATGTTTTCCAACGAAATATTATACGGAGTTTTCCCTACTCCAGGTATGTTAAGGCTAAGCTCTTCCTTCATTTTGGCATGATCTTGTCATTACACAAGTTTGGTGACGAAGTATAAGGAAAAATTCATATCCCGGAATTTACGTATATTTGTCTATTTAAACAAGTAGTCCTGTATATATACTTTTCCCTCTAATAACGGGAAGCTTGTTCATAAAGCCAATTGTTAATTTGCATTTCATGTTTGAATGTACAACAGAACCTTTTCAATAAGGGTATCCATGATATTCCTAGAAAGAAGTGAAACAAATATAAGTTAGTCTTATGCACAAAATTAGGTGCAACCTCCTGGGAAATACTACTGCCTTCGTCATATGATTAAGAATTTTAGGTTAACAAAAGGCTCATATATGATTAGTACTGCAAGTGTTATCACAGACAACTACTTTAAATACATGCATAAGGTTAATATTTTCCAAGTTTTGTAAGTTACCATATTCTTCTTATCAGGACTTTATATTCAGTTGAGTATTTCCTTCTTCCAGTAAAGAGAGCAGAGAAGTTACATATATACAGTATTAAAAGTATTTTCATTACCATCGAGCTATAATCAATGGGCAGGCCCCTATTGGGCAACCTCTGATCAGATAGTAAGTTATATGACGATCCTACTGTGGCCGAGCGCATATGGGCGAGCCCAGTTGATCGAGATACAGAGCCTAGTATGGCCGAGCGCTTATGAGCGAGCCTACTACGGCAGAACAAATATATATGTATACCGAGCTTTATAGGGTCGGACAGCTATTTTACTTACTATATTGAGAGAATTGAGTCAGTATTATCAGATGAGCATATCTTCGAGTTTTCTTTGACTCCTAGTTGTTCTCAGTTGTTATATTATCAGTTCAATTTCAGTTTCAGTTTCAGTATATTGCCTTACATACTCGGTATATTATTTCGTACTGACGTCCCTTTTCTGGGGGCGCTGCATTTCATGCATGCAGGGTCAGACAGATAGACGGGTAGACCTCCTCAGTAGGTGTTGCCCGAGATCAGCTTTATCGGTAAGCTCCCCTTCTTTCGGAGTTACCAGGTCTAGCAGTGTGGTGTGCATCTTGTGTATATATGTAGATAGGTTATGGGTAGGTCGGGGCCCTGTTCCGATCATAGTACATCTATTATTAGAGGCTTGTAGATATGTCGTGTCAGTTAATACCGTATGTTGGTCTGGTAGGCCCTGTACGTATATTTTGTTAGCTTGTCAGTTGTAGTAAATATGACGGCCTTGCCGGCCCAGCCTTATATTGATGGTTAGTCAGTGTTAGTCTCTATTCAGTTTTATATTTTACATCGCACATTTTCTTGTAGGCCATGTCCAAAATTATGACATTACATGTTCAAAGTCTTTGAGTCACAGGTGATACGCAAGGATAGTTGAGGCACTGAGTGCCAGTCTCGCTCCCAGGTTCGAGGCGTGACACATGTTATACCACGAGTTTCCAAATGGTTCAGTACAAGGCAGACTTCCAGGGGAACACCATTCCATTCAAGTTCGAGGCACAACACATGTGCCATCAAAAGGTCATTGTGGAGAAAGATACCATCGAGCCAGATCAGTATCATGTCGGCCGTGTGCACTTCCATCCATCATGGTTGGTAGATGATATAGCAGGGGATGTCAAGCCAGGGATTAATCTAAAGAACAGGGTTGTAGACAACGTTTCTGAAGCACAAATCAAATACAGGATGTTGCACAAAAGGGCTTTCGAGTCTAAATCCAGGCATTTGGAACATTACAAAGTGGACATGGAAGCAATCAACGGGTGGAGAGAAATTGCTACTAAGGCAACAGAGAGGTTGGAATATTTAGAGCAGGGGTTGATGGAACTTGAAAGGAAGATGAGAAACAGGGTAGCAGGCTGTCAAAATATGGATGGCAATGAAGGAGGGCTCATAGCAAGGGTATATCTTCTGTTGGACATGCACGACCTGGGAATCTGATCGATGGAGCAAAGAAGGCCAAGCATGGAGAAGGTACCTTTGGGACCAAATAGATTAGGAACGATGTTTTACTTGCTTTGCAAACTCGTTTTAGACTTTGGTTGTAATAACGCAAATGTCATTAGTGACTCTTTATCATTATTGTCTTTTTAGTAGAGATTTGGTTCATTTATCATATTAATGCAATGACGCAGTTATTGGCATCAGTTTTCTCCAAATCTATATGTCGCTTAGGCCTACCTCGGGCACAATGAGGTCCCTAAATTATGATGCGAAATTGTAATTCCGCAATATGTGTTTAAATATCGCAGACATATTTTTAATACCCCTTACTGACTTGTTTACCTTTTTATTTTTTTTCTTTTCTTTATTTGTTTATTCCCATCCCCTAAGGCTGGTTTATGCATACTGGCATCATCATCATATCATACCAGATCTATAAGTCTTCCACCTCCTCCTCCTCCAAGTGATCTAAAAGCAAGGGAAAAGTCAAAATGGATGATGCGAGTGGTATCAGGAAAGACAACACTATGCATGCAGAGAATGTCGAGACTTCGGATGGTCGGAGTACTCCGGCACAGAATAACTTGGTTTTATGTTGGAACAGAAGATACTGGAGATACAAGGGGAACTTGAGCAGGTCCAAAACTTGGCCAACCTTTCCCTTATCCTGAACGTCCCCGATGTCAACCAACAAAACATTAAAAATCCAGCATCTCCCTAGAACATACAAAACCAACAGAATCCTCCCGCACCTCACCAATATGCCACACCTCCTCAAAATCCCAATCCTCCTCCAGTACCGACTCCTCCACAGCATCATCATCATCATCCAACCCAGTATCCACAAACCACCACCTACCACACTCCTCAAACGCACCACAACCTACCCTCGATCCTCAAAACTCAACCAACAACCACCACTGTGCCCAAATTCCTAGAGTCCATCAAAGCAACCCCATATACATAGAAACTTTATCCCACACTCCACAACAAACCTTATACATACCTGAATCCACTGAGAAGGACCTGATCATCAAGAATATGGCGGAAGAACTCAAGAAACTTACAAGCCAAGTCCAAGGTGTTGAAGGTGGTAAAGGCATCAAAGGTTTGAATTATGAAGATTTGTGTATTTAGCCAGATGTAGAACTACCACAGGGTTACAAACCTCCTAAGTTCAAAATGTTCGACGGGACAGGTAACCCAAAGGTTCACTTGAGAACATATTGTGAAAAGCTCATAGGGGTTGGTAAAGACAAAAGAATCCACATGAAGTTGTTCATGAGGAGCCTCACTGGAGACACCCTGTCCTGGTACATCAGTCAAAACCCAAACAAATGGGTTAATTGGGTAAGTATGGCGTCAGATTTTATGGATCGGTTCAGGTTCAATATAGAAAATACGCCAGACACCTTCTATATTCAGAATCTTAAGAAGAAGCCAACAAAAACTTTTCGTGAGTATGCTACTCGATGGAGGTCGGAAGCTGCAAAGGTAAGTAAGGCGATGGAAGAAATCATAGTGACAAAAGTCAGAGCTCAAGATCCACTATACTATGAGAGGTTGATAGTCATTGAAAATCATAAGTTCTCTGATATCATCAAACTAGGAGAAAGAACAGAGGAAGGAATTAAAAGTGGAATAGTGACAAATTTTGAGGCACTGCAGGCTAAAAACAAAACCTTGCAGTTAGGGGGTATCTCTAAAAAGAAAGAAGTTGGTGCAGTAATGGTAGCCCAAGGTCCGAAGTCTCCCTCACATACCAAACACTATCACCCACATATCAGCTTTCACCTCCCAATACCAACAACCCATCGCCACTTACCATACCTATAACACCCAACCTGCATATTAACACTCACCACCACCAGCTCGCCAAAACTACCAAAAACCCAGACCAAATTTCGACCGTAGACCACCTAGACAATATACTCCTATTGTTGAACCCATCGATCAGTTGTATGAAAGACTAAAGGCTGCCGGTTATGTCACTCCCATTCACGCCGTTGGCATGGAAAACTCCTCTCAGTAAGTCAATCCAAACAAGACATGTGCCTACCACCCGGGCATGAAAGGTCATACTATTGATGAATGCCGCACTTTGAAGGATAAGATCCAGACGTTAACTGACACCAAGGTTATACAAGCCAAAGAGGTCGCACCAAATCTCCGCAACAACCCCCTCCCGGATCATATAGGCAAAGAGGTGAATGTGATAGAAACTGATGAAGAATGGGATCTGAAAGGATCGATCGGACTCATTCGTCAAGGGGATTAATCTAAAATATCTCCAGTCATTCTCACACCTATTGTAGTATAGATTCAGCCACCAATTGAGGTTGAAGTAACCAAACCGACTCCGTTCGAGGTTGAAGTAACTACACCCTCAGCCATGCCAACTCCGTTTGAGGTGGAAGTGACCACAACATTTACTGTAATGGTAGAACTTACACCTTCCTTTAATTCCAATGCTATACCATGAGACTATGCTGCAGAAGTGAGAAGGAAAGGAAAGGGGAAAATGGAGAAAACAGGTGCAGCACAAGGCATGACCAGAACTGGTATGGTTTATACGCCCGAGCATTTAGGAGGAACAAGCAAAGAAGCCGCTCCCAAGCCACCTATCATTGAAACTGGCCTGGATGATCTTTGGAGAAAGGTGCAAGCAAGAGAGTATTCTGTGGTCGATCATCTGAACAAAACCCCTGCTCAGATATCCATTCTATCACTACTACAAAATTCTGAGGTGCATAGGAATGCATTGATAAAAGTGTTGAACGAAGCTTATGTACCCAATAATATCACCAGTGGAGAAATGGCTAATATGGTAGGGCAAGTATTGGAAAGCCACAAGATCACTTTTCACGAAGACAAACTGCCACCCAAAGGATTGAGTCACAATAGGGCACTGTATATCACAGTATAATTTGAGGATAAATTCATTGTCAGAGTCCTAATAGATGGGGGTTCGAGTCTCAATAGTTGTCCGTTGACTACTTTGAAGAAGTTGGGTAAAGGTTTGCATGAGATACGAGCAGGAACTATGAACATGAAAGCATTCGATGGGTATCAAAGGGCCACGATTAGGGAAATCAATCTATATTTGCAGATGCCCAACTTGGTTTGATGTAGAATTTCAAGTATTGGACATATCCGCCACAAATAACCTATTGTTGGGTCGACCATGGATACATGTTGCTAGGGCGGTAGCCTCCACTCTACACCAGGCTATAAAATTTGAATGGAATCATCGGGAAGTAATCATCCACGGGGGATGGAAGTAACCTTATTTATACCAATCAAACTGTTCCAGTTGTTGAAAATAAAAAGAAAATGGGGGGAGAGATGTACCATCGCATCGAGCATGTCAATGCAATTGAGAAAGACAAATGGTGAAGCAATAAGATCGAAAGCATATTGTTATGGACAAGGTACGAACCTGGCAAGGGTCTCGGCAAGAATCTCCAAGGGATCACCAAACCAATACAGCTAAAGCGCCATGGCACAACTTTTGGGCTGGGGTATGAATACACCTGGCACGAGTATCAGAATTGGTCACCACCATGGCGTGGTCCTTATTACCCTCTTGAACAGCCAATACCGCATTTGCACTAGACATTTCAACAGACTGACGTGATATGGGGATCTGAAGAAGATGAGGCTTTAGCTAGCCTGAGGAATCTATTTCTGGACGATGAAGGCATGGACTACAATGCAATAGTTGGGGAGGAGGAGGAGGAGGAAGACCTTACAATTTGGACAGTGGGAAAGGGAGTTGTTCTCAAGAACTGGACTACTGTATCATCCTGGGCCCGTTGAGTTCCAGGGTAGCCTGGCAATTAGCATGATCTATTTTTAAAAAGCAATGTTTAGCATTTAAGACATTTTTCAGTATTTTATTTTAGACGCATTTTATTTTGAAATAATTGCTCGAGCCATTGGGCCGAACTTATTTTAATGTTTTCAAGATTTATTTAATGCATTGTTATTTTAGTATTTATCATTATCCTTTACATTTTCTCTCTATTACATTATTATTACTTATCCTAATGAACCGACGATTGTGACATGTAATGAGACAACGCAACATAAGGATAGTGATTCCGAGGAAATATAAGAAGAAGATATAATACCTGAGAAAATTGTTAGAGAAGTGGAAAATATCGAGAACAGGCCTAAGTCAAATTTGTACAAAATCGAGATAGTCAATTTGGGAGATTCTAAAACAGTCAAAGAAAATCGCATAAGCATTCGCCTGTCACCATCAGAGAAAGAAGAGTACGCCCATTTCCTGAAGGAGTATGAAGATATTTTTTGCGTGGTCTTATGATGATATGACTGGTTTGAGAATGTCTATAGTGGCTCATAAACTACCTACCAATCCGATGTGTCCACCTATAAAGTAGAAACTCAGAAAGTTCAACCCGGATATGAGTCTGAAAATCAAAGAGGAAGTCACCAAATAGATCAAAGCTAAGGTTCTCAAAGTGGTTGAATACCCTACTTGGTTGGCTAACGTCGTGCCAGTTCTGAAGAAGGATGGGAAGGTCAGAATATGTGTCGACTATCGGGATTTAAATAAAGCAAGTTCCAAAGATGATTTCCCGTTGCCCAATATACGCATACTAAATGACAATTATGCCAAGCATGAACTCCATTCCTTTGTGGATCGATTCGCGGGATACTATCAGATCTGGATGGATGAAGAAGATGCCGAGAAAACAACCTTTATTACTCAGTGAGTGATGTATTATTATAAAATGATGTTGTTTGGTCTGAAGAATGCTGGAACCACTTATATGAGAGTTATGATGACTATTTTCCATGGAATGATTCACAAACAAATAGAGGTGTACGTAGACGACATCATTTTCAAATCCAGAAGAAGCACAGATCATATAGCAGACTTAAGGAAATTCTTTAATCGGCTTCGAAGGTACAATCTGAAACTGAATCCTGCAAAGTGTGCCTTTGGAGTCCCTGCTGGAAAACTACTAGGTTTCATCGTCAGTCGCCGAGGGATTGAACTAGACCCTTCAAAGGTCAAAGCTATCCAAGATTTGCCACCTCCGAAGAGCAAGAAAGATATGGTGAGCTTCCTGGGGCATCTCAATTACATCAGTCACTTCATGCAA